ATTATACATGGTCTGACTATATGATAGTTGCAATCCCTAAACTGTGTGGCCCGTTGTAGGTTCAATGTTAAAAGGGAAATAACTAAGCAGTGCAAAGGGTTTGCGACAATTGTTATATAACATTGCTATGGTGGAGAAGACACACGTTTGCAATGAATCCCCAGTGCTGCTGCACAGAATCTGGCCACCTGTTCTGTAGTTATGGACTGTTCATCCTTAAGCAGCCACTGGAGATAGGTAGTGTCGGAATGGCCAGGATACCTAGCAGTTATTGGCAGAATATGTTTTTTCCTAATCTCTATATGTTCCTAATCTCTATATGTTCCTATAAAGGGAACATTTAAGGAGTATGTGATCCAGTCTTCACCTCTCTGAGCTGCAGGGACTTTCCATGGATGGTAACCTTTTATACTTGGAAGCACATGGCACAGTGTAAATGCAAGTGCTTTCTGGTGGTTTGCTGACTCCGACTGACTGAGATAGCTGGCAGGAGCAACAACACATCTAATTGCATCTGGAGCCAGAAACAACAGAGCTTTCCGTTTCCTCCACCCTTTGTGCCAAGGTTTGTCTTGCTAAATCATAGTCCATCTTGAGTATTAAAGCTAGTTTGCCTAGTTTGGCAATGTTGGACTCAACAGCCTTGATCCATGATGAAGAGATTTTGTCTTGGAGGATTAACAGAGCAAGACCTTATGGAAAGAAGTTAAGCTTTAGCCAGAGATTTAAGGATGCGATCGATCCTTGCTTCGACTTTTGTCAATCCTGTCTCCAGGCACAGAAGTACATTTGAGACACAACGTGGCATCATTAACTCACAACCCTTGTGTTGCCCATGTCCTGGTTTTGCAGAAGCCCACCTTACCTTCTTCCACTACCTGCATTAATTTGTCAATGTCCAGCATGGCAGAACTTACCAGCCCAGATGCCCCAGATGCTCTCCTTGTCCTTACTCCTGTCCAGGTTGCCTCAGCTGATGCCTTTGAGAAATGTGACTTTTTCCTACTCATACCTTTGAGACACTTCTACTGTAAACATATGCATTTCAGTCCATCTCGATCTCCAGAACAAAATAGATGTTTCATTCTGAGACCACACTTGCCCACCTGCAAGGCATTCAAAATGTGGTTTTGCCATCTCACCTAAGGCTGTGATAGTATGGGTGAGTGGGATCTATGAATGTTCTCGGTTAGTGTTTTATGCTGTTTATGTTGGTTTTTAACTTTGTTTTTAATTTTTTGATTAGTTGCCCAGTGTCATTTATGTGAAATTAGCAGCCATATAACCCATTAATTAAATATGCCATCCAAACATGATGCTTGTTCAAAAGGATCAGGCCTTCTCAGCAGTGAATTCATTGCATTTTGCTCCTGAAGTATGATTAGCTGTTAGTTTGGAAAGACCAAAGTAGAATTGTTCTGTTTAGCATTGGCCCCTTAAGATGTACTGTTTTTCTTTCTATTGCTGTTTTTAGTGTAATTTTAGATTTCTTTTGACTTTGCCAGGAACCAAATCTGATTGAGATGACAACAAATACTGCAAAGTAAATGAGTAATAAATAACTAAAGCAATTGTTATATACAAAGAATTAGCGCACAGGTTTATTTTTATTTAGCAAGTTTTTCCTTCTTATGATTCAGTTGGAGTCTTGAGCTGCAATCACGTATCCAAGAACTGAAGCGGAAGTAGGTTTTTCTAATGGAGATACTTGTGTTTAGTTGATGTCTTATTGACCATATGAGAAATTATTTTCACAGTATTTCCTTTTTCATGTTTGTACAGTCCTGCATTTAACAGAGCTTAGAGTTTTTTCTCCCATGCTTTCCTGATAATTGGCTTAAACTAGACTTTTCCTCAGATGAGTCCACAAGTTTGCAGAGATACTGCAATCCTCCTCCTTCTCCCCAAATCACAGGGATATATAACTGATTCAAGGAAATTTCTAACTCACATTGTGTGGTGCATTTTAAAAAAAATCATCATCAGATGTATCTCATTTTATTGGATAGAACCTGGGCAGCAAAATAAATTTACAGAAGTTGGGCAGTGGCTAGCAGCTGCTGGTCTTGTCCTATCTGGATTTTTGTGTGAATAGTTGATTAATTTGGGTATCTTTCAGAGAATGATGCAGACTCACCTACTATTTAAACTGGAGTAAGACATTACTGTTTCATTCAAGTCAACAGTAGACAAGAAGGTTTGTATCAATTGGTTTTTGAAAAGTTGAAGCTGGTTTGACAGAATAATCCATAATGCTATGTGCACAACCCAGCATGCATGTGCTTTCCCCTGCGTGACCAGTGCTCCCGCTTTTGCCACACTTTTTTCGCCCTCCCCATCTCCAGAGGCTTTCTAAGAGCCTGGGGAGGAAGAAAACAGTCCCCTGTTTCCCTGGATGCTTCAGGAGCTTTCCTGAATTCTCAGAAGTGCAAAAAACAGCCCTATGGGCAAACTGGAAGTCACTTTTGGTTTATTCGTAGGGCCGTTTTTTGCCCTCCAGAGCCTTCAGGGAAGCCTCCTGAAGGATCTGGAGGGTGAAAAATGGTCCTACTGAAAAAACAGAAGTGACTTCCAGTTTGGCCATAAGGCTGTTTTCTGCCCTCCGGAGCCTTTAGGGAACCCCCCTGAAGGCTCCAAAGCGCGAAAAATAGCTTCACGAGCAAACAAATGGAGGTCCATTTCCAAATTTTCGGTTTGCTGGTAGGGCTGGTTTTTCACGCTCTGGAGGCATCAAGGAAATCTCCGGAAGACGAAAAATTGCCTAAAAAGAAGGCTGAAGTCAGCTGGCGCGCACTGAAGCTGATAGGGCAACAGCTTGCATGCCCTAACAAATGTCTCCATGCCACCTGTGGCAGGCATGCCATAGGTTCGCCATCACGGTAATAGGCTATCAGGCTTCCTCTTTTGGAGTGGACCAGTTTTGTTTCCATTTTTATAATGGTCAGACTTGCTCTCATCTGGTTTCTGACTGAGAATTGCATCTCATACTTCCTCTACATTAAGGAACTTGATGCTTGATTCAACTTTGCATACTTTTAATTGATCTACCAGAGATCTGATTCAACTTGAAGCAAGCCAGAGTTATGAACTATATTAATATGGTTTATTTGTCTAGCACACCGTTTGAAAGATACGACTACTCCCATTGTACATAATGTGCAGAAGCAAAAAAGGTCAATTTTCTAGTCACGACACCAATGGGTTGATATTTGAAGAGGAAAGGGTAACCAACTGGAAAAATTTTCTACTTATTTTATGAGGCATGTTCCCTCATCATTTTAACATCCTTGTCCATATCTGTCCAAATAAGCCCAGATACAACTTGATGGCATATCAAAATTGCTAGGGGAAAATGGCCAGAAAGAATCCTATGTTGCCAAGATTTGTTTGGCAATCCAGTCAAGATTAACTTGACAAGAAACAAAAGAAGCAAATGAGAGAATAGATTGTCCAACTGGAAATTGTACTGTCTTACTGTGAAGTGCAGATTGAGGGAAAGGGGGAAACAATGGTTCAAATATCTTTCATTATTAACAATAGCAATAAAACTCAGACTTACAGACGGCTCCATAATGCTTTACAGCACTGTGTGGCCGGTATACAACCTCATCATATTGCCCCCAAAGGTGTCCTTCAAATGTATAGGACCATTACTACAGCAGTTGGTCATCCTTGCAAGTTACTGCTGCCCAATACTCCTTTCCCACGAAAATTGCTATGATAAAGATAACTTTCTTTTTGAGCACTAAACATATATTACATATTTGGAAGATACAAAACAAACCTAAAGCACATATTGTAATGACAGCTGGATTATAGTAATACAGCATACTGTCAATAATTTCTTCAGATGTGAGGTGCTGAATATGCCTCCTTCCAAAAGTTAACAAATAGATTTGGTGTATTGTATATCTATGTTTATCCCATCAGTTTTTTCCTTCTTGGAATTCAACATATTTTTGAACAAACATGATTTTTGATTATATATAGATTGGCCATATTATATATAGATAACTTAGAAAGTATGCACTCACCATAACGGATCCATGGTATAAAGGATGCCTGTTATTGCTGACTAACTACTAAATCAGAAATTACATAATCCACAGTTCATTATGCAAATGACATAAACAGAGTGGAAAATTTCTGTTTTACTGAATTTGTGAATATTTGGTGATAAACTAAGGAATTTTCTATATTTCTTTCCTTTGTTAGCCGCTGGTTAACTTAGTAAGTATTTGAAAGTATTTAGCATTCTTATAAAGTTAATGGAGATAACTGTTTTCAGTGCAATGATAAAACAGCTTATTAATACATCCTCATAGAACAGAAATGTAAACTCTTAAGAATTCTTTTCCTAATCTCTCTATGTTCCTGACGTTCCTATAAAAGGAACATTTAAGAAGTATGTGATCCAGTCTCCACCTCCCTGAGCTTCAGGGACTTTCCATGGATGGTATCCTTTTATACCTGCCATACAGGATGGCCGATGGAAGCACATGGCATCTATTTTGATTGGTTGTCATGTATTTCAATAAGGTCATCACAGAGCCAAGATGCTCTCTCCTTTGTCAAAAACCAAAATAACATGCATGATCCGAAAGATTCAATTTCAGAAACTTTCATCAGTGCATATATGTGTTTGTGTGTATGCATTTGAAAGGTATATTGGGCCAAAAGTTTCTTGAAAAAGAACAAGTCCCTTTACTTGATAAGTCCTTAAACTATCAAGTAGCTACTCTAATTGTACAATAAATGAGAAAATCTATGAAATTAATCTATTTGAAGTGAATATGTAAAGGATTTTTGTTAAAAAAAACATTGTTACATAATATTGAATCCATATTAAGAAAATAAGAAACCAACAATTATCACAAGGGATGAAGACATTCCAAGAGAAACTTGTTTTGGCAAAGACTATGATTATGCATAGAGAATGAGAACAAAATTAAGGTCTGTTAACAGTGGCAAATAATTACAAGAAAATAGAATCTTAGAAATAATTTTCTATTCTTTTACTTGCTTTGTAGACTTATGCATTGAAAAAATCAACAACCTATAATATTGTTCTATTTATATACTACATAAATGTACTACCAAATGTCTTTGATACAAAATTACTTTGGTGTAGAATAGATTATACATTGTATTTATTGTTCATTGATCGCAAAAAAGGACCAGGAGCATTTTTTTCATTCAGGGTAAAAATAAGCAATTCATATGTACCTTACATTTATAAAAACTGTTTGCCAAAATAAGGAAGAGAACAGGGAGTTACTTAAATTAACAGCTGTTTTACCCACTGAAATTATGGAGTTTAAATTTATAATAAGGAAATCAAGAGGTACGCAAAATAATGATTTACAAGAGTAAATATGAATCCCACCTAGTGATTCTATATGTAGACTGGGATGAAAAGGAGCGTTTAAGCACCCTTAGATGATTTATCAAACCATTTTATCACTAAACATCAAATGAACTTTGCTAATACTTTTTTTTTTTGCAGATGTCACTGGAGATATTTGACAAATATATACAATTATTCTTATAAATTAATGATAAGCCTAAAAAAAATTAATTAATAGAGGAAAAATGAGCTAATTCTATGACGGGGAAAGCAAGACTCCAGAGAAATTTTGTGATTGCTCCCAGTAAAAATAGAAACAAGGAATAGGCACCTCCAACAATAAAGAAACATGTGGCGGTGTGAAAATCAATATATTAATCGACTGAGGTAATCCTGGTATTGTGTATTTTAAATTCCCTGTATCAATTTTAACTCTAGATCTATGATTGCCTTTTGCTGGAACAGCTTAGATTAAAAATGTATTGGAAGTTATAATGCATTATGTATTTTAAATTTGCGGTGCTGGCGGAATCGATTTACGGAAATAAAGTTCTTTGGTTAGCATGGATACCACACAAGGAACCTGCTTCTTCATGCAGAAGCGTGGGTCATCAGACTGAGATTCATAGTTTCTTGCTACTTTGTAATTAACCAGGGTCAGAATCTGCAGGATATCCAGACGTTTGCCATACTCATTCAGCACTGAGCAAAGAGACTGCACAAACCAGGATCCTTTCCCTGGATTCCTCCAGGAATAGTAACCTAGAAGAAAGAATAGGGAAATTGTACTTTAATGACAGATTTGTCTTTTAAAGTCAGAAAGGGTAAAATACAGAATTTAACACAGTTCAAATTTATACAGGTGAAATTCAAAAAATTAGAATATCATGCAAAAGATCATTTATTTCAGTAATGCAACTTAAAAGGTGAAACTAATATATGAGATAGACTCNGTTATCATAGTATTTCAAGCTATTAATAGTATCAAAATGTGAAAGTATAGCACAGACTATATAGTTTGTATATAGTCAGTGAATTTTGGGGGATGCCATTGAATATTCTTTCACCCTGATAAAATATGATAAGATTAATTTTTGAAAGAAAGTGTTTAATAATACGTCCTACGTAAAGAAACAGAAGGTTTTTTTCTCCAAAGTTAAGGATTATTATACATATATGTTAAGTTATAATAAAGTACTGCTAAGTAAGAAAACATTTTTTATTTTTAGCAGTTAAGTTAATTATTGCTGAACAATAAAATATCTATATAATATCTCAAGAATTAAATAGCATAGGATCTAGTTTATATCTTTGCTTGACAAAGTTTCTGATAAATATAATATTTCACCATGAAAAATAACCAATCATTATTTTATAGAGAATAGTGGGATATTATTGCTTATATAAGAAAAATTCATCCTCGCAACAGTTTGTAATAGAAATTATGGGAATGTTAAATTTTACCAATATCATGTAAATCCAATTTAACTTTAAATATAATTTTGGTTGTTCCATATCTCCTAGTAATCAATTATTATGCACTTATATTATATTCCTGTTACAATAATCTAGTAGGCATTGTACAAAAAATATTTTCAAACTACAATATTGTAGTTCCGAACAATTCTGCTACTATGACGATTTATTAAAAAATAATGTTTGCTTTACTTAAAAATAATGATTTTTAAAACATAAGATTGTAGATAAGCTAAAGGAAACATAAGGTACCTTTGAATCTGGACAGTTAGCTTGTTTTCTTCCAAATGGTAAATCTTTCAAAGTGAGTGCCAACTCTTAGTCTTATACCAAACAATATTAGAGTAAGCTCGTGTCATTTGTTTTACTCGTGCCATTTGTATAAATTTTCTTGAGGCTGAAGGATGGTAAAACACCTTTACAATTAAAGGACGTTATCTATGTACATACTTGTGAATTTACAAAAGTGGCTCTGTTCAAATTTGGAATATTAAAAAAGGGCAGGACTATTAACTACAGATAATTTTCATGCACAATTAAACTCTTGCACAACTCTTCCATAGGTGAAAAAAAATCCAAGTTTTATTCCTATTTTAAATTTTATTTACAGTATTTAAAAGGGAGCTTTACCCAAATTTCATGACAATAAAATGTAGTGAGGAACTTTGCTCTTTAACGACTGTACACAGAAGGCAATAAAATTAAATTTTATTTACAGTATTTAAAAGGGAGTTTTACCCAAATTTCATGACAATAAAATTTAGTGAGGAACTTTGCTCTTTAACAACTGTACACAGAAGAAGGCAATAAAATTAAATTGTACATGTTTATAAATAACTATAAATAAACATTATAAATAAACTTTATGATTTTTAGCAATACTTACAGGATAGGATGTTTGCTATGCTGGAGATCAGCAATGCCCAATCATGTCATTGAGACATTTATTGAAAATTGTATTATTTAGAGAGGCTGTCTTTTTATATCAGTCTTAATTACACCCCTAACTATGACTCATAAGGAAATACCCAACTTTTTTCATATGGGAAATATTCTGTTTTACTGTCAAAACTGAAAGTTGTTTTAATGAGGAAATACAGGAAATGGCAGTGTTTTTAAAGAGCTTTTGACATGGCACAGAACAGGTGCAATAATAATACTAAATCCAGGTTGGCACTTGGTTTGCTTTTTTATTTCATTTCCTCATAGCAGTTTTTTAAAAAAATCTAACACTGCTCCAACTGCAAGAGAGATATGAATTACTGCAAGAATATAGTTGGCTATTTGATTGCAATTATTACAATCCAACAAAATACTTTAATGAATAACATAAGGAGGGAAACTCTCAGAAACAAATCCAGAGACCTTTCCTTATATATATCTAATTGTTAAAAAAAAAGCTTTATTGTTTTCTTAGAATTCCTGTATTTAATCTCATCCCAAACCATACCAAAAGCAGCCTTAACCCAGGGGTTAGCAAACTGTGGCTCTGGAGCCACATGAGGCTCTTTTATCCCTCTGCTGTGGCTCCCTGTCACTCAAGCTATGTGTCACAACCGCCGATGTGCGACACAGAAGCAGACAGCATTTTTGGTTTGCAGCAGGTGGATAATTTAAGTTCGGTTTTTTACTTCATAAATACAAGGACTCAAATAGACGTTGAGTATTTTATTTGAAAGTAACCTTCAACCCAGCATCTTTTATTTCAGAGTTCAAAATGTTTTTGTTGCATGCAGAAATAAATTTTTTTCTCTGATTTGATTTTTTTTATACATAGCATAAAGGTAAAATAAAACAAACTGATACATGCAGTGTTATCTTCATTTTAATGTCAAAAGCCAATCACCTCCTCTCGACCCATAAGATCTCACAGATTNGGCTGGAGAGGGAAGAAATGAGCAAAAAATGGATATTTTTTTGCTCAATTTTGCCCCCTCCCACCCCCAGGAGCACTCTACAAGTCTCCTAAAGGCTACCCATGCCCTTTTTGTGAAATAAAATGGGCCCATTTTTTGTGAAAAATGGGCCGTTTTTGGGAGGTTTGCAGAGTGCAAAAACTTAAAAAAAAAATTTACTCTTCAAAACCTAGTTGCGTCTTATACTCCAAAAATATGGTATATCACACAGAAAAGAAATTTCTAAAAAAAATAAATTTTAAAAAGATTTTTTAATAACTAGAACATTTTCTAAAATTATAAATGTGAAGGTTAAGATATGAAAGTTATTTTGAAAGAGATTGATTTTCTTAAATGATGAATATCGTGATTTTAGTTTCATAATATTCATATTCAGGATATATGATAATTAACTTGTGGAATAAATTTATAAATATGATAAAAATATCAACATTTTTACAACTAGCTTGAGAGAAAAAAATAATTAAAAATAATCCAATTAATGGATATGAGCCATGTAAACAAAAAACAGAATTTTCATTTCTGTATGAGATGGTTCCTTAGAACATGCTTCTGAGTTCATCAAGGACCCTTTCAGGACCACTGATGAGCATATACTAATCAATCATGGCAGCCCTCCATTTATTTATTTGTATTCCTGGTAGTTCTTGACTTATGATCCTTCATCTAGCGCCATTTGAAATTATGATGGTATTGAACTGTCTGATGACCAGTCTTTGTTCTCATGATCATCACTTGATTCACTAAACAATCGTATGACTTAGCGGTTGCAAGCTTAGGACTACAAACATGATATTTGGCAGAGGTATGTAGCCCTACTGAAAGATGCTTTTTATCAGCATGGGTGAGGTTGCTTTACTTGCCATCAGCTTGGTAAAGAAGTTGTGTATTTTACTGGACTTGCACAAAAGATCCAAGATCCCGATGAAAAATATGTGTTGAAGTTAAGGAAGAACTGAAGAATTTGCAACAGAGTATACACACTTTTCATTATTCTACCAGTGGTGGGTTCCGGGCAGTACGCCCTGTATGGGCATACTGGTGTCAGATGGGAGCAGCGGCTACCCTATCGGAATGGTGCTTTGGAGAGCCTGCCCACCCTAGTTCTTAAACCTCTATTTGAGCTAACCAGGCCATTTGTGCACAGCGTAAGGTGCTTGTGTGACCTCCGCCAAGCAGCTGGAACATTACAGGGAGGTGGGTGTGCATGCGTGCGTTGCACGAGTGCCCGTGGTGGACATCTGGCCCTTTTGTACCAGTTGCGAAGGGATCCGGAACCCAACACTGTATCTTACCATTATCTCTTTCATCCACATTTGTACGTGCCTGAGACTGCACAAGTTTAGGGACAGAACTGCTGAGAGGCTAGTTTTTCCTATTTATATAGTTGTGAGATAAGAAACCTGCCCCAATTATATAATCACCTCCCTTATTGTCTTAGCACGCATCATTCAATACCCACTAGATGCGTAATGATCACTAATATGTAGCATTTCCTGCTGAAATTCACTGTAAAAAAACATGTTCCCTCCAAAAATAGCCTCTATTCAAATGGCTACATTTTGTCACACTTTACATCTGACTCATCCTATATCAAATTGTTACTTTTTTTCTCACCAAGTGTACCTGGTACAGTGGAATATGCATACAAAAAATCTGCTTCAACTGGAATCTTGTATCTTGGATTGGCATCCATTTCCAGGGTGTCATTTGAAGAGCCTGAATCTGTCTGAATCCCATCATCAAATTCAGAACCGCGACATGCCTGAAACCATAATATTAAATAGTAGGCGTAATTCTTGTTGCGCATAAATGGCACATAGTAAACAAAAATCGTAACACATTATAGCAATAGCAATAGCAGTAGACTTATATACCGCTTCATAGGCCTTTCAGGCCTCTCTAAGCAGTTTACAGAGAGTCAGCATATTGACCCCAACAATCTGGG